ACTTACCACTTTTCTGGAAAAAACCAAATACACAGTTCGATAGAGAATAATTTTCTCTATCTACTAGTATTTATGCTATATCGGATCCCATAAGAAAATCTCAGAGCCAATCATCTGTGATTTGCTATTGTTTCACTTCTTTGCTTGTGTTTGTTCGGAACAGCTTCCTTACCATAGTGTCTTCCAGATATTCAACAAATTCTAAAAGTTATTCGATTTTCGGGAACAAAATTGGGATCAGTCAAAGATTTCTATTGGAATTGTAAATAAATCTAGTCAATGTTTAGATCCTTAATCAGAGAAGAATAATACATAGTCGACTTCTGAATAAAAAAACTGATCGAGACCATAGCTTGAAAACATATAGAGCTTGGCCTTAATAAAAAGTAAGATTCTGGTCCGGATCTTACCGAGAGCGAGATCATTTTGTAGATTCCTAGTTGAAGCAATTCGATTAATCAGCGGTTGGAGATTTTCCATTTTGAGAGAAAAGATAATGGTCTTCTGTGCAAGACACTCGTTTCATTTGACAAGAGGAACTATGCAGCTGCCCAATTCAGTTGTGTTTGTCTAATATATTTGAATATCTGTCGAATTATATGAAATCGAAGTCGAATTGTTGTCAATTCGATAGTGTCCGTTTATTCTCATAGAGAACTTCTTTGAAAGAGAAAAATGAATTAAAGCTAAACAGACAATATATTGTTATCAGATGTAGATGGAAACAATTTCAATTTTGATGTAAATGGGTGAAGAACTGAAAGAGACTATTTTCACTTATTTATATTGGAAATTGAATATTGAACGAAGTATGTTTGAGCAACAATTGTGCATCGAATATTTGCATATATCGTGTAACATAGACACTTGTTTTCTAATAATTTAACTTTGAAAAATCTTGATTTTAGTGCGAACGTTTTTCAACAAACATCGCATGGAATTTTTTATCAATAGAAATTCATACAATCGACATCTGGCTCCATAGTCATTAGTCTTTGCATTTGCTTATCGTAATAGAAGTGTGAAACAATAGAAACTCGCCTGAAATAAGTTAATAAATAATTGATCTGTTGGATTAAATCGAGGCATCGTAGAATAGGAAAAGGAATAGAAATCGATATCGTGATCGAAATATCTATTCACTTGATAATACAGATAAACTTATTTATATTCGGACAAAAAGACTAATAGCGTTACGAAAACTTGATGATGAACGTAGAAAATAGGTTATTCTTTTTCTGAAAGATCGTTTATTATTGTGAATGACTAATTATTCTTTCTTATCTAATGCTAATTTCAATAGAATTGAAATCAATGATGATGATTGTCATTTTTCCAAATGTTATTTTTTTAGGTATTCATTTTTCTAATGTCTTGTTTAATAATTGTCTATTTGAAAATGTGATTTTTGTTGAAACTTATTTAAAATGAAGCTTGTTGAACTTGATCAATATTTTTTACAGTGAAGCTCAATAGAATTTACCCCCTTTGTATTTTTTACTTTTAACCATTAGAGTTTGATCTTTTTTTAATAATGACTATATCGCAAGAAAGTACAGATTCTGCTGCATCACATGAGATATATATCATAATTAAAAAAGAGAAATTAAAAAGTAAAAAAAGCGTTACAAAAAAAGACACCATTGTTTTTTACTGCAATCTTTAGTTATACAATATATTTTCTAAAATGAGTTTTATTTTTCATATTGTCTTGTTTTTCCTTCCATATATTGACACACGTGAGTTCCATTATTGTTCGAATCAGAAGAAATTCAATTTTATAAACTCGCAAAATCAACGAACGGAACACTGCAATAACTCGATTAACGAGAATTTTTAAAAGATTCATTGGAAGATTGGCGTATATTTTGTTACGGCCTGGATCAAGGTTCAAAACAACATTCAATCCGTTCTCTAGTTCCAACGTATCGTTTTTTCTATCATCTATTTCTTTATTTAAATCTATATTGAACCAGTCTCGTGTATAAATATGGGACCGTTATGTCTAACCAGTAAACAAACTTTTATTTTCTCTGTTTAACACATCTGCTTTAATTTCCACTGTTTGTTTGTAAAATGGCCAATGAATATGAAAAATATACCAGTACTTTCAAACAAAAAGTTCTTGAAGAATATCGTCCTGGAATTTATGGGTCTGGTTTTAAATCATTAGCCAAACGTTTTAAAATTAAAGGTGGTCATCATCTGATAATGTGTCGGTATCGACAATGGGATGGTACTGTTCAATCCTTGAATGCAAAGCCAAGAACTGGTCGACCACGTACGCTAACAAATGAAGAAGTAGAACGTTATGTATTGAATTTTGTCGAAACGATGAATAATCAGCATAAACCGGTTGATTACAAAATGGTACAAAACCATGTTGAAGTCTCACTGAATCGAAAAGTAGCCATAGCAACGATCAAAAGATACGGCAGAACAGAATGTGGAATAACAAGCAGAACAACTCATGAAATAACAACTCGTGATAGTAAATATACAGGTTTCTATACAGCACATATCATTGTTTTATCTCACCGTTTACGAATCCATCTAATCATTCTCCTATATTTATAGTTGATGAAAATCATTGGATTGAAATTGGAAAATTTCGAAAATTTTTACAGCGGATTAGCAATGATCGATTAATATTTATCGATGAAATAGCCATCTATGGTATAATGCCACCTCTTCGAACACTTGTTGCTCCTGGGCATCAATCATTTGTTATTGTTGATAAACCATCAGCTTATGCTGAACGTTTTGATTTTATTGGTGCAATTAATGGATCAAAACCAATAGCTTGTATGACTTTAACACCTGTGGATCGTAAAGCTAAAGATATTCAAGGTGTAAGAAAAGAAGTAATACATGAATGGATTATTAAATCTTTGGCACCAGCCATTAATCGATTGAATATTGATCGTGTGCATTTGATATGTGATAGAAGTCGAGCACATAATCGGGCAGAGATGATGCAAGCATTTATTATGGGTAAATGTAAATCAGTTATAAATGTTCATTATATGCCAACGGCATCCGCAAAATACATATCTCCATTGGATAATCCAATTTGGCATTCATTTAGAGAAACTGTCCGAAAACAGCATCCATTGACAATATCCAATCTTCCATCGATACTTTCTCGAACTTTTTATTCATTGTCAAGAGACCAGATTATGAATGCCTATAGAAAGTGTGCTATTACCTATGGAACTGATGTATTTTATGACCAACCTTTCACGTAAATGAATGCTACTCTTTATTTTAATTCAGACAAAGTATGTCTTGTAGTAAAAAAAAATGGTGTCTTTTTTGTAACGCTTTTTTTACTATTTAATTTCTCTTTTTTAATTACGATATATATATCATGTGATGCAGCAGAATCTGTACTTTCTTGCGATATAGTCATTATTAAAAAAAGATCAAACTCTAATGGTTAAAAGTAAAAAATACAAAGGGGGTAAATTCTATTGAGCTTCACTGTATTTAAAAAGTTGTGACAGATGAAGAGTATATGCGAATATAACAATATTATTTCCTATTAATTCAATAATCGAGTCAGTAGTATTCAAAACGAAGTTTAGTTGACAGATTTTTAAGAATAACATTTTATCACTACATGGAAAGCTTAACAAAAGCTGTTTATTGATAGTCGAAATTATTCAAAAAGAAAATAAACTAAAGATTTTACCTAAGAGTAAAACAACGTACTTCAAGTCGAACGGTACATCAAAGTACTTTAAAGTGCATTATTTTCCCTCAGAATCGTTTATATTTTTTCTTTTTATAGATATGCATCAATTGGACAGTTATAGTTCGAATATGATTTGTTGATAAAATAAAACAAGCACAATCGACTTCAAATCATTATTTTATAAACATGATATGAATGAAAACAAATGTTTTTACTAAGATGTTATGTCAATATGATTTATTTATCACGTATATCTTATGGTTCTCAAATTAGATTTTTTTTATGCTTTACAATTCAGTCTCGCACACTAAGAGATTCTTTTTCATTGTAACTGTTTTTCTGTTTGTTCATTTCAAAAAACAGTGTTACAAAGACATATACAATAACTTGTAAACACCATGAAAATTTATAGATCATCGAAGTAATAAACACAAATCTTTGTACTAAATTTTTTTACTTGATAGAAAATGTAAATATAAGAAGTATTTTTGTATTAGATAGGAACGAGTGTCTATAGACAAAGATCTTGTCCTGTTGCTAATGCAACTAAACAACATTGTATCTAATAAGATAATCAATACATGTAGATATATCGACGACCCAATAATTAGAAATTGTATAGAATTCTACTCTGCAACAGCAACACAAAGATCTACAGCTCAATAAGCATTCGAGGAAATCAATGAATTGCAGGAATTTAAGGAAATCAAGAAATTTATGGCAATTGCAACAGTAGAATAGAATTCTTATGCTTAACAATATCTATAGAGGCACAGATTTTTCTCTTACTCTTGATTTCTTTTTGTCTATATAGATTGCAGAGATGTTTGTCTTGTTGAATTCTGGAAATTCTATAGAATTTCTAATTTCTAGATCGTGAGTATTTGTTGGAATTATGATGGCAACGTTTCTAAAAAATTGGACACGGTAGTTTTCAGGTTTGGATGGCTATTTTTTGACAATGCCATATTAAAGAGAACAAAATTAAGAGTCGTTGCATTTTCTGTGCCCTTCAATTGAAAAGCTCAAAGAATCACAGAAACCAGTTTTTAGCTGGATTTTTAATAAAATTCGTCTTTTTTTCCTTCAGCTTTCGTGGTACTTTTAACATTTTAAGGGAAGGTCGTAGAAAGTGTGGTGATCTCTCATTTTGTTCTCTTTAGAATGGCACCGTTAAAAAATAATCTTCTACAATCTGAAAACTACTGTGTCAGATTTTTTTTATAAAATCTTGCCATCATAATTCATCTATGGAACCTTGGCATAGAAAGCATTAGATAGAAAAAATATATTGTTGTTAAACTTCGTTTTATCGCTTTATGTACGAATGTGTATTAAATAATCTTTCATGAAAAGTTACCTTGTGAATGAATGAACGATTCTTTTTATTCCGATATCAAATAGTTCATGGAACTATTAACAAATCATAAAGAAACAAAATTACATCGTTCGAATGTATTGATCAATATGTATTAAATTACTATTTCATTAGAAGAAAAAGATCAATTCAATAATTGTTTACTTTGAGCAAATGGATTTAAAATCGAAGTTAATCATGCCTTTTTTTTCTCCTCAACAACAAGAATCGAATAGACTTATTATTCATTTTGTTTATATAGATAACAATGTAACGAATCATTTTCTTCATTCTTATAAGATAGATGTAACACTAAAAATAATTATAAATCAAATATTCAAGTTTTGTGTCATGGTTGATATATCTTTAAAATTTTGTGGTAGTTCACCCGATCGACTTACACTCCGACCTGCTACTTATTCAAAATAAATAGAGAATTAATAATAATTTTGATATAAACATTTATATTTCTAAGTTTGACATTTTATTTTTATTTTTATTTTTTGGAAATCTATCCTTCTTTATTTCTTTTATAAATTGAAGATTCTCATGAAGAAAATTTCGGATCTACATGTAGATGTTTACTAAGTCAGAAAACAAAACATAAAGTAAAAATTGAGTTATTGTCAAATAATTAATGTATTTGACAATTATATAATGAAAAAGAAAAAAAAAATCCATTGTCTGAGCACAATATACAACATATAATAATGTAAACAAAACAAAACAAAAAGAATCATATTGGCTTTTCGATGAGTAAGGGAGCAACGATTCGAACTGAATTCATCGTATTTTGTCTATGATGATGTTGAACTAGCATTATATCCAGTTTGAGATTGTTGTTGTTGTTTTTGTGATGCTGATACAGACCAATAAGGTGGTGGTGATGCTTCTTCTGATGTTTCAATTGTATTATCATTTTTTTCAGGTTGAATACCAGGTCCGTAAGCAATCTTAATAAAAAAAAAACAAATATAAAAACAAAAAAAAAATATAACATTAATTTACCAAATGGAGTTCGAATTGAAAAAATTTTTCTTTTGTTGTTGTTTTAATTCCATCACCAGCCACACCATCCTCATCAAAACTAAGAAAATATCCTGGTACATGTACTGATTCAATATAAATAGCTTGAGCTGAACCTAAAACATCTTGTACACGAAATTCTGCTTCATTTGGTGGTTTTTCATTTGATGATGATGGTATAATAACAATTTTACCATTTCGAATGCCAAGATAATTATAATTATTATGAAAATAATATCGACTATGTTGACCACAAACAACAAGCCAATTTGCATTAGGAAAATATGGACCAGTACCACCAATAGCATCACATATTAATTCATTTGTGTCTTTTGAAACAACAATTTGTAATGAACGACCAGATCCTCGAGATATAAATTGTATAACATTACCTGGTTTTAAATAAACACTGAAATATAAAAAAGATATTTAATTATTATTATTTTTTTTCCATGATAAAATTAGCAATTTTCTTACCGAGCATCTTTGCCTTTGACGAGGGAATTAACTGTATTAGCTGCATTTGTCAAATAATCACGACCACCTTCAACTTTTGATGCAAGATCATAGGCTTTTTCTACAGCCTTTTTACCAAGACTACCGAAAAAACTCATCGTATTGTATGTGATGAGATCAAATCTTTGTAGAATTTATATAAAGAATACAGAAAAAGAATTTACCACTTCTAGAATAAATGATTCATTGATGAAAAATCTCATCTCATCTGATAGTGACGTCATTATATCTACCAATAAAATTTCTCGATATATTCGCTTTCTATTCTTGCGCCATCTGTCTCGCACAGGAAAAAAAGGATACAGAATCATTTAAAAACAAAAAAACCAGTGTGTTCTTTATTTTTCTCTATACAAGATATATACGTTATACAACCGGAGAAAACAAATAGATTTGAAAAAGAAAACGCGACATAACAAGCATGTATTTTAAAAATGCAAATGAAAGCAAAAAATCTCTCGATCATATAAAGATATTCAAAAACAAAAAAAACAAAAAGAACAGAGATAATTACAATATCCATGGATTTTTTTGATTAGGTTTGGCATATTCATTTCACTGATCGCTCAAAGAAAACAAAAAAAAAGGAAAATGGAATGTCTAGTAATGAAATGAAAAAGAAACAAAAAAAAAGACAAGAACCATCAGTCTTCTTCATACACACTGAATTAAAATCAGAGTGACTAGTGGTACAAAGAAATGTTTTCCTTTTAATAATATATATATAAATATGTTTTAAATATTTTGAACACAAAAAAAGAAATCAAATAAGATCGCATAAACAATAAGAAAAAAAAATCATTCTCTTGAAAAGAAATAAAGCAACTGTACAAATACAAAAATGAAAACAGCAGCAGTAGCAACTCGAAAACGAATAAAAAAGAAATGAATATAATGGAATTTTTCTTTTTTTTTTATGGTTTTTCGAGTATCTCTGGATCCTTAGAAAGAACTTTTACCAATAATTGATTAATATATTCAAGTAATTGTCGATTCATCCTCAGGAGCTAAAATAAAAAGAAAATAAATAAAATAAAAATATTTGTTTAAAACAAAACAAAATTAATAATTAATAAAAAGTGAATAAAAATGTTTTAAATGTGTCAAAGAATAAAAGACAACAAACATTCGACAAAACAAAAGATAATTAACTATGAAGATATCTGTTTGCTAATTCAAAAATAATAAACAAGTGCTACATATATATTAAATATCCCCATAGAAGAATAGAATTAAAAGAAACAACGTCGAAGCATAAGAAATAAGTGCGTACGAGAGATAATGTGGCTTGGGTTAGGACGTAAGAAAAAAAAGCATTAAATTTAAATTTAGGAGAAACTCGACGTTACAGGCGGCAATACTTGTCTGCAGGTTGTTCTTTAATTGTTGTTAATTTTGAAACTGAATCATTTTTTATTGAATCATTTTTTATCGACTCATTTGATTGTAAATTTTGTGGGGTAACAGATTTATTATTTGTTGTTATCGATGATGATTGTTGTTGATAATTCATTGGTGACATTCCCATAGAACCAATAGATACACCACTACTAGTTGTAATTTCAAGTAATTGAGGATTATTTTCGATGATAACAGTTAACATTCGTTCAATATATTCACGTAATCGATCATTAATCGAATATTGTTCTCTTACTTTGTTCATTAACTGCAAAGATTTAGATTAAGAAGAAAAAATAATAAAAAAAAAAAGAAAAAGAAACACATTCACACAGACAATAAATTTCTATGAAGTTTTCTATCGTTTTTAGTCAATAATAATTCAAGAATATTTTTCAAATCTTTTGCTACAAATTAAAAATCTATTTTTTCATACCTCATCTTTGGAAAGAACTTCAAGTTCAGCAGCAAATGATGGTGTATCTGGATTAGCCAATAAATGTCGGCCTTCGTGAAAACCTCTGTAAAAGAAATAATTCTAAAAAAAAACAAAAAAATCTATTAAAAACATACGCTACAACAGGATGTTCTCGTAATTCTCTATTTTCTCGTTTAAGTGTTTCATTTTCCTTAAAAAAAAAAGAAGATAATGAATTATCTTTGTTTTCTTTTTAATTTTTCTACATACTAATTTCAATTCTTGAAGTTCGGCAAAAAGATTTTCTAGACGTGTTTCCGATGCTTTTAAAATACTTCCTGTTCGAGTATATGTGCGACCGAGTGGAGTATGTGATAATTGTTCAGCCAACTAAAAATTTTTTTTGTTTACTATAAAAAATAAATCTAGGATTTTTACTTGTGCATTATTCAATTTTTCTGCTTCAAGTTCTGCATTTTGATGACGTATTTGTTCTAATAATTTTTCATTATCATCTGCAAGATTATTACATCGAATTTGACTATCACGTAATTGATAATCAACATCGTCAAGTTTCTAAAATAATATAACAAATGTTTGTTTTTTAAAAAGATTCTTTTAAAAAATATTAGACAAAATTATTTGTCTACATGAATATTACTATTTGTTAAAGGACATTCTGTATTTATATTTATGTGTTAAGATATGAAAATTGAATATTACCTTATTTGATAGAGAATCATAAAATGACATATTGAAATTGTATCAAAAAAATAAGATGTTTTTTTTTTCGCTTCACTTAGATATTTATATAATTGGACAAATATATGAAACAAAATAAAATAATTTGTCATAATAACAAGATTCAATTATGATATGTAAACAAAAATAATTTTCAATTTCACTAATCGACGCATACACCTTTGAATCAGAACTATGTGCATCGCATATTACTGGAATACTACATATTTACGAATATTGTTTAACTCAAAGTTGTGTTTCTCTTAGGAACATCGGAAAAATTGATTTCCGAATTTCAATTTGAAATTTTGTATATAGATAGACCTTAGCAAGACTAGTTTATTGTGAAAGTTTCAGGTCTTTTCGTTTCTCGTATTCTAAGATATGCCTATGATAAATGTGTATCTTTTACATCGCTTATAGAGTACATCAGAAGATTTGATCTTCTTATTTGACGATAGATACTAATCAAAAGAAATGAAATTTTCGCAATAAACTATTCTCATCAAGGTCTATCCCTATGCAAAGACTACAGTATTGAATTAAAAAAAAAACACCTTAAAAACGCAGTAAGCTAAAGAGTCCGAACTCTACTCAGAATATTCATAGCTCATTTGGGTTTACATGATGCACATAACTGCGACTCAAAAGCGGTTAGTTCGAAGATTTCCCTCATGACTTTAAATGAAAGTTCTTATTGTAAGAGATGAAAAAATAATCAAATTCAGTGGTTTGATTTTCAAGTGCCGACAATTCGAAATATGAACAAAATTTTTTTGTCATAGTTGAATAGACTTTGTCGAATTTTCCTATAAAAATATCTCTTTTGATTATCAGAACTTGAGTTTCAAAAGAAATAAATATTTTATTCAGAATCAGCATGAAAATCTGTATTGAATAGTGTACTCAATATTCAAAATTAACTTTCGTCAAATTTCGACCTAGAGAAAGCATATGTCAAAGTATTCGAAAAAAATAGCGAGAGGGTGTAGGAAACAAAAATTGACGAAAAATACTTTGTTTTCCTAAATTTCACCTCAAAAATATCGTCTGAACATGACAAAAAAATCCTAAAAAAATTTTACTCAAACTTCGAATAGCCGGCATCTTACAAAACAATGAAAGATGATACTTTTAGAACGTGATCTTTATTTAATTGATACATAATCTAACAAGGAAACCTCTCCAGATGTCTAATTGACTTTTTCATCGAGACGATGTTCATTTGATGAATAATAAAAATCCAGAACAGTTTGGTTTTCTAGGTCTTTGTTCTTGAGACAATGAAATTTTACTGAGTTCTTTAACGAAAAGCTGTGATCATAAGGAAAATCGACTTCAAATTTTGCATAAACAAAGTTCTTAATGAGATTAATTCATTGGACAAGTTGTAACTTTTCTAGTATCTCCTAACCTGAGACATTCAAAATTCCCTCATGTGTAAAAGCAAATTTCATTCATTCCCAGAATGGAAGTACTAGAAAAGCTAAAACTTGCCTAATCAATTAAATCTCATTAAGAACTTTGTTCATGTAAAGTTTGAAATCGATTTTTCAACATCATGAAAACTTATTGTTGAAAACATTAGTAAAATTTCGTTATCTCAAGAACGAAGTAAAACGATTTGACGTCTGTAAACATTCTCTTGTACGATCCGTAAAATGATTTCTTATGTTATAAATTTTATCTATATATTAATTTGTAATAATCTCAAAATAAAAATTACCTGTTTTAATTCTTTAACATCTTTTTTCATTGATCCATTTATACTTTGTGTTTGTTTAAGTTCAGATTCAATTACATTAATCCTACAAAACAAAAAAAAAAAATAATAATAATAATTAACAAAATATATTCATTTCTAATGTTTTAAATGTTAATATTGAACCAACACCTAATATTTATCCATTAAAAAATGAACTACGAAGTTAGACGAATAAAAACAAACAAATAAATAAAAACAATATTCACATAAACACACATATGCAAGAAGAACAAGAAGAAGAAGAAGAAGAGATTATAATATTAAGAAATAAAAATAAAAATCTCACAAACCTCATAACGCTAGAAAATGTCAAATTAAATAAATTATTTTAAATCAATAATGAATTATATTTTTTATTTGAAAATTAAACAAAGAAAGAAGAGAAAAAAAAACAACAATATGTTTTACCTTGATTGTAAAACTTCTTTTTCTTGCAAAAAACTTCGATCTTTTTGATTCTAAATAATTAAAAATAAATTTTTAAATAAAAAAATTTTTTTCAATTTAACATACAATATATTCTGCGTATCGTTGTTGTTCACTTTGTGCTGTACGTGTGTGATGTCCTTCAAGATCGTGAAAACGATCTTCAAGTGCTAGAAGTCTTTAAAATCAATGAAAGAAAAAATAAAATAAAATAAAATCCAAATCCAATTATATAATCTTACCTGCTTTTTAAATCAGTATTTTCACTTTGAATTTTTGCTAAACGGTCAGTTGTTGTTTGTTTTTGTTCTGATAAAGTATCAAGTTTTTTTTGTAATTCGTCAACCTAACAAAAAATAATTTTTTTTTTCTTTTAATCGAAAATTTAAACTTCAATACTGTTTCTTGTAATTGTTGTTCAGCTTGTTCTGTTGGTAGAACTGATTGTAAATAACTACTTCGTTTTAATGGATGACTATAAATGAAACAAAAAAAAAATTTCGAAAATAATACAAAAATAAATATAAAACATACCCAGTACGTTGTGATGGTGTTCGTAGATAGACTGTATCCGATGGATAAGTATTAGGATTTGGTTCTGCTACACCAGTAAATTCTTCGTCGTCACCGTAACTATATTAAAGAATATTTATTATGAAAAGTACAGAATCGATTAAAAGCTTTGGTCATATTAAGTAGAATTTTAAAAGAAAAGAAATTCATTAATAAATGATCTACTTAGATTTTATATCTTTATTGAGTAATAACTTATTCGATTGAAATATTTAGTATATAATCTTTACAAATTTAAACTTTTGTCAAAATATTTTATTAATTTAATAAAAAAAAAAAAGACAAAGATTATTTATCATAGAAGTCATTTCAAGGTTCTCTTTTTTTTTTCAATGTCATAAAGCTCTACATTGTATCGACTTGTTTGTGTTACAACAGTGCTTAAAATATAGAACTTCTCATTTACAGAAAGGATAAAATACGAGATTTTTAATGAGTAATAGATCTTTATATTTTTACGCATGGTGTATGATGAATTTTGAGTATTATTGTACATTTCATCCATATTTATACGACTACTTTATTTTGAATGACATTTTGTCCGACAAATGAAGAAAAAAAAAACTCGAAGATTCTTTTTTTTGACACGAACATTGTTTGGTAGTAAATTGGCCTTTACAATCACATGTATGATCGATTTGTTTTTATTAGGCTATATTGCGTACATCTATATTTATAATACTTATCGACACACAATCCCTATGATTACATGTTTCTGTCTTTTTATAATACTATACTTTTAGTAAAACATGTAATTATATAAATTAATTTCTAGTCGAATTCTAATTTCATCTATAGCATATAAGGGTCATTTCAAGCAAAATAGGACATACCTACGTTTCATTGTTTTTTTATAAGAATTATTCTTCTGAATAAATTCATTGAGCATAAACATATGTAAAAAAAAACAAACAAAAATGTTCGTTCTTTCAGGTGATTATTATTTAAATAGTAATTAGCCAATATGTCTGGAATCACATCTATAGTGGAATTTTCAGCATGATTGAACTCCGAAAAACTTCTTTATAAAAACTGATTTCTTAGAGATTCTGAATTTTTTTAAGAAAAAAAAAATTAGCTCTAGAAACGTTTCTTATCTCGAAATACACATGTTTTAATTTTTCGAAGTCACATTACTAATGAATGATTTTGCTCATATATATATATATATATATATCAATTAATTGTAATATAATAAACTTACAATGGAGAATCCAATCTTGGTGAGAGTGATGAATTATTTCGATTACTGTTCTGATTATGATTAGTAATTTTTTTCGTATTCGTTGTATTATTTGTTAATGTAGGTGTTCGAACATTAGTTGTATTTGATTTATGATGAAAAAGTTCTTCACTTTCAACGTCGTATTCGTTAAAAGTCGTTGTACTACCGTCTTGATTCTGAAACATTTACAAAAAGAAAAAAAAAGAAAAAAATAACAGCTGCATATGAAGATAATAATAATTATCATTGACAAAAAGAAATCAAACAGCAATAGCAAAATTTTTTTTTTATTATGACCTCTTCTTGTATAAGACTAGACCAAGAAGATAGTGGAGGAAAATTGAATCCATGTGTTCTCTATAGAATACAAAAAAGAAAAAAAAACAACACACGCAGATATAATTTTTTTTTGTTTTTGATTTTGTTTTTCTTTTGTTTGTTTTGTTTTTTTTAATTTAAATAAAATTCTTTGTCCTTTTTACTTACCAAACTTCGTCGATCTGAATCTTCAACTAATGAATTTTCTCGACTACGACGTGTTAAATCGGATGCAACTTCTTTTAATGTTAATCCTTGTAATGAACTGATTTGAGAAATACCGTCACAAAATTGTTCAAAATTAATTAAACCAGTATTATTTGGATCTAAGGCTTTTGTAATACGAGCAAGTTGCTACAATAGAACGACCATACATATTTTTCTCAATGTTCTATAGAGTATGTTCATACTTTGAAGAAAAAAAAAAAAGACAGGAAAGCAAGAGAATAATGATGACCTTTACATTTGACTGGCGCATATACAATATGAGGCGACATACATCTACATATATATGTATATATATATGTATATATATGCGTGCACCTGACTCTAAAAAGAGTCCATCATTTTCATGTTTTTTTTATGTATATGCCCTAACTCTATAATGAGGTCGGTATTTTTGAACTAGTTTCATATATTTTTAAGTATTAATAAATTTAACTTACTTCAGCGTCTGAATAATAATTATTAGCAACGTCAACAAAACGACGTAATTGAATTTGACCTTCGTCGTTTTCGTCAAGAATTGAAAACACTTGTTTTAAATCGATATCCATTACGATTATTTTCAATAAAATATTTATTGATTAGTATTGGATATATCATGCTCTTATCAATGAAAAACACATCTAAAAATAAAAAATAGAAAAGAAAAACAAATATGTATCAAACTAGATACAAAAGACATAGTAGACATTCACACAGTTATTTATCTACTATTACTGGATTGTACCGTTTTACATAGCCAAAAGGACATGTTAACGATGCAATCTTCACCTTTCTCTTCCTCGTCATTTTCTTTCTCTCTCTCTCTCAACATGCAACAGGCCAATTAAAAGAATGGCAAAAAAAAAAAGAAAAAAAGAAAAAGAAAAAGCTCACGACAAAGAAAAGTTTGATTTCCGCTGTTGTCACAAGCTAAATACAGTTCAACCTATACGTATGTATAAGAATACAGAAGCTATGTTACTCACATATACTCACACCCACAATTTCAATAGAAAAAAAGTGTATTGAAGAAAGAAAGAAAAGATAAAGAAAATCGATTTTATATACAATGCAACAAATTGATCACTTGTGTAAAGTTTATAATATAAGGAAACATTTATAATGATAATAATCAAAATAATCATAATTTATGTATAGAGAGTGAAGATTGAAAGTTTCATTCGATTTAGTCTGTTGAACGAACTCATGTCTGGCAACTATTGACTTCTAGTATATACACTGATTGTTGGTTGCATCACGATTATTTGATGAAAGATGCAAACATGCGACCAGAGAGAATAAAAAAACGAAGAAGAATGAATGAATGCAACCGGTGTAGATAGATAGACAGAAAAATATAAAAGATTTGTGGTATGCTACCGTTATAATCTATCGTTCATTCAAGAAATGATGAATGATAGAAAGTGCTAAATGCATACATCTGTGGTCCAGAAGGCACCTAACAAAAGATTCTCGATGTGATTGTTATGATCGAACAAAAGATTAATTTATATTGTTAGTCAATTTGTCTACTATGATGATGGTCGAAAAGCTGAACAAGTATAGATATTTACCATGTAATTATAATAAAAAGGCTCTCACGTAAACATAACCTGTTCGATACCCTTAATTGAACATTCATGACACATGTGTACATCTCTGTACTATTGGACTTTTAATTAGTATATTGTGAAGATATGAATGAAAAGGGACAGGCGAGCCTACCGTGACGCATATGAGAGAAAACAGGCACATAGAGTATTACATACTTGTAAAATATTAATAAAAAGAAACCCAAACGTTGTGAGCCAACAGGTGGAATGAATCATTCATTTTTTTCTCGTTATTGTTTTCTATACCAGCCAAAATAACAAAAAAACTACAGAGGACAAAATAATTGAAAACCTACAACATATACTGTAAACAATCAATCAGCTTATATTATTCATCTTTGCATAAGTATAGTCAACTCAATTAGCTATTTCTATGACTACTGAGAGTGAAAAATATACAGCACCGGATATAATAGTTATTTTGTTCGCAGTTGTTTTCTCTCTCTTTTGTCTAATACCATTTTGATAATAACAACAATCATAAGTGGCAATCAATATGTGTGAACTGTTGGTCAAAATAAAAAATTGTAATGATTGTTGTTTTCATACCTGACTATTTTTTCTACACTCGAAGAGAAAATTCTTTTTTCCCATTTGGAAGGAGGATAAATACAAGCACCTATTCGACATTGTCCTTCTATAAACAGGCATGCATATATATATATATATATATATATATATACTTGCATGCTTGTGACAGATGCCTGTATTAAAATCGACTAATCATTAACGAAGTGAATCTTTACTATTTATAAAAAGATGAAACACCTACTCAAATATACGCTTGGGATATCTGTTATAGGGATGCTGTGACAAACGAGCTATTACACAAGTAAAAAACAAAAAAGATGAGAACAAGTTTCATAGTCGAAAAAGTCAAACGAAAGATCACTGTTACACAAGAAGAATGAAAAGCTAGAACAAACATTTAAAACAAAAATAAAACAAAAGAAATCAAGAGGGAGAGGGAGTGAGTTGGTCAGTAAGCAAAAACAAGAGAAAAAAAAATGTTTTTTAAAGAAAAAGAAAATATAGAGCTGAAATGAAGGAATAAAAAGAAAAATAATGAGAGCAAATAAAATGACATACGTTTACCTATTGGACATAAGTATAACCAGTGAAAAATAGGTGTGACATGTTTAATTGAGGTTTCACGATGGAAAGAAATCAAAATATGGTTTAAAACAAAAAGAAAATTATTCAAGTAATGTAAAAGTATTGAAGAAACTTTTGTATCTGTAGAAAGATCGATCCTTGAAAATTTATACTCCTTCTCAGGAATGTAATAGTTGCATTTATCATCTAGTTCTTGTTGACATTTATGCTTCTACAACTAGAAGTTATCTCCCAGGAGTAAAAACATATAGTAATAGATGGAATAAATAATAAAGATTATGAAACATAGAATTTCTTTTAACGAAAAAAAAAAGATATCTAAAACTGGTTATAAAATTAGTAAGAATATTTCAATAGTGATCTTTTTTGAATGACAGGTTGGAATATATTTTTCATGAACTTTGTATTTTTCCTGCGAGAAAATTTCATAGACTAATATTTTATCATTCAACAAACGCGGAAAGTAAAACAGAGATGAGTATGAATTAATCTTATAAGTTTTAAAAACGATTTTTTTTTGGTTAGTTTTTCTTTTTTTTCATTTTCTTTTTAATGATTGAAGAAAAATTTAGTTTCGAAATTTTCATTTCATACGAAAAATTCTGTAGATTAATAAAAGAAACTTTTAATTGTGATTAATATTTTAATATTAATAGTCAGTGAAACAAATGTAAATTTGTGTTAATTTAAGGCCAAGTATGTTTTCTTTCAATTCAAATGAAAATAAATACCTGTGAATTTTTATCAATTGTAACTCGAATATTGTTGATATATCAAAATCAATTTCATTCTATATCTATTTTTTTATCTCATGCTATTGCATCATAGAAAATTGATTATTATGAAACAATTTCAATCAATTGAAACTTATGGCTTGAGATTGTGTAGTCTTTTTTTTTTTCGAAATGATAAGATACAATGTCATTCATCAGTTCTTGTCAAGACAAAAATCCTTCACCTTTCATACAAAAGATATCCTTTTGCTAACATGTTCTTCTTATCTTCTTCTTCTTTTTTTTGCTAATTTTAAGTGCATATTTAATTTTATTAACTTAATCAGAAGAAAATGTTATATTAGTAATTCAATTGAAGACATTATTCTATTATTTCAGAAAATCCTTTTTTTTGCTAACTGAAATAAACACAAGCAACTATGGATTGATTTGATAATATCAGAAAATAACTTCTTTTGTACGCGAAACAATTAGAATAAGTTTTATAATTATTTTTTTCAAATGTTTCGATTTCAAATAAATAAATATTAGGAAATATGAATGACTAATTTTCATGTTTGAATAGAGATGAGTCAAAAAAAAAACTTCGATTGTCACGATATGTAAGGATGCAGAAATGCCGTCGACATGTCTAATATTATTCACTAAATGCTCTATGTCTTTTCATTGCATACAGAAACGTTTATTACATTTGCGAAATTTCTTTCTCAACAGACTTTTATATTCATTAACAAATATGTTTTAAAAATATTCTTATCGGTAAAAACAATAGAAAATTGTATTGATAACAAAACGTGTTTTACCTTGGTTATTTAAATAGAATGATATTCTTAATTTATCTTTACTGGTAAACCAAAGAATTTTATATATCAAAATAATATAACCCAAGCAGAGAAGAATTTCTGCGTGAGAAACATAAAAATTAGTAGCGTAACCTGCGTTTTGATAGTGCTGGTGTTTAACATGGTCGAACTCTATTTAGTTGAAGGGTTTGTGACAGAGTTAAGCTAGCGTGGCTTCGATCAGCAAGAAGCTCAGTGCATCGACGAAGGATTGGCTTACAAGGGAATCTCTTCAGATCCCTCCTTCCGATTTCTATGATTTCTCACATATAGATGCTACATAGTGTTCTAATAAAAACCTTAAGAGGATTTGAGTTTCCATTGACCTTCGGCTAAGTCTTCGAATATTTTTCTAGAGACTCCAGATTTTCGTAGAACTCGTATTTTCGAATTTTAATCTGAAACTTTGTGCATAGAGAGAAATCAACTAGACTAGCTGACATAGAAAAACTCAAAAGTTTTGAACAAAGTCTAGTCGACTTATGAAGCTTTGAAAAAAATGCATATTTTATATACTATCCATGAAAAATGGTCTATACTCTGAAAGTCTCATATCTCGAAGAGACTTTGCTCAAAACTGCTAAATTTTTTTATGGAAGTTAGTCTAATTGAGTTCTCTATATGCGTAAAGTTCCATATCGAAATTCAAAAATATGAGTTTTCCTAAAACCCGTGATCTCTATGAAATAGACATACTAAAAATTTAATAACTTATGAGGGAACCATTTCAAATGATGAATCATTTTTGAGTTCGCACTCTATACATACGATAGACTCCAGTGAAGTATGAAAAGTCTCAAAAGGATAAGTACCCTTACATTTTCATTTTAGCGCTATAATTATGCTACTAGTATTATTTTAGGCTATGGCGCGGTTTATACAAACAAATGGAATGCCATTATTTCTACCTAGAATTTTGCTCACAGACGAATTTACTTGTGGCTTGGATACTGTGAAAATTTCATTTCAAATGAATGTTTTCGTTACGAGATACTAAATTTCCAAGATCCATTGATATTCCACGAAAGATACCAGAATCTTAGATTCTTTGAAAATTCAATATCTCATGAAGAAAACATTCATTAGAACTGAAATTTTCACATCATCCAAGTCATAAGTAAATTTGTTTGTGCAAACCATGCCATAGCCTAAAATTTCAGTAAAATGACTATAACTCTGGAGCGAAAGTCTACGAGTACTCATCCTTGTGAGGTTTTTCATATCTCGTTGAAGTCTACCTTATGGATAGAATGCGAACTCAAAAACGATTTACCACTTGAAATAGTGTTTTCGTTAGTCAAATCTCAATATGAACCCAATTCCTTTTTCGAATTCTTATTAGAACATTATGTAGTATCTATAGATAAAAAAATTATTGAAGTCAAAAGAGGACAACTGAAGGGCATCCCTTATTAGTCCTCTTGGTTAAGTCACTAATAAATATAATATTTAATTCCACATTCTGTAACCCAAACAATGAAATACATAATGAGAATATCATCTTTTTTATAAATTTATTTATTTTTCAAAAAAAGACACATTAGACATTTTAGTTCTTAATGTAAATAAGAATCTGACATATTTAAATGTGAAGAAACAAAATTTGCCATTCACACATTATCAGAAATCAAAAAACAGATGCTTCTGAATAATAATAATAATAATAATAATAATAATAGCTGTATTTTTAAATGGATTTACTGTATGCAACAAGTAATCGATTTATTATTGGTATACGAGATATAAGATGATAAAGTATATAGGCTATTACTGCACATGTACCACCAGCGAGAACATCTATCACATAATGATGTCCAGAATATACAGCAGAAAACCAAACACTTAATGTAAATAAAACAAATCCTATATGTAGCCAAAGTCTTTTACTTAATGAACCATAAAGAACAGTTATAACTGGATAAGCTGCATGTAAAGATGGTATAGCAGCAAAAACATTCGCATTTTTAGAATACATTGATGAAAATATGCGTAGTCCTGTTATCTTATCAAAATGCATAAAACCAGCTGGATTACCAGGAACTTTCATATTCATATTAAATCCATAGATTTCAACATACCATGGTGGTCTAAATTTCAAGGTAATGATAATAAAAACAAAAAAAAGAACATTTTGAAGACAAAAAAAAAATAAGTACTTACGCAGCTGGTACGATGTAATAAATAATAAAGCCAAGAATATTCGTTAATAGAAATGTTAATGCAAAATCAATATAGTCTCGTTTGCTTTTATATCGATAGAGATAAAGGCTGTATGCTATTGGTATAGGAATCCTAGAAATAGAAAAATTATATGATAAGACATTTGAATATTTGTTTAATTGTTCTACAGTATTATGAAGAATGTTTTTCTGGTTTTTTTTTGTCCTATGAAAAATTAGCTTTTTTTTCAAAAGTTTATTATTGATGATAAGACAACATTAGGTTTTATTACAATAATTAGTTAAATTAGATTTTTAATTTTTCTATGAAATTAATATTTTCTATGTTGAAGAGATCGATTGTTGCTTAGAAAAAGTCGATTTTAAAATTCCACAGTATATTTTATCACTAGAGGAGGTGCAAAGAGACCAGACCAAGAGGGAAAAGATTATTTCCAAAAATAGAAAAAATATGTAGTCCGGTCATTTTCGTCTTTATCACAGTATTTTTAAAATCTTTTCAAGTTCGCTAATTATCGAGAAGGGTGATAAAGTTCGCGTGTTCACTTGAAAAATTTGAAGAATAATTCTAAATTAAGTTGTTAGAAAAACTCTCGATATTTTAAAATACTTTGAATTGTCGCAGAAAGTAATCAAGTATTTGTTTGTTTTTTTTTGTAATTTCAACTATTATTTGTATTGGTGAAATAGTCACATTAGATAAAAATCTTCATAATATCAGAATAAGGTATAGTGCAAATCTTTCGAAATTCAAATAAGAAATAATCTACTCAAAATGAGAAAATGATGTAGTCTAAGTCTCTAGAAATTTATGGAAGATATTGTGACATTTCCGATTTATTTTTTATCTGTTGTTGTCTGTTTTTATTCATTAGTTTTATTGATTGTTTGTGCATGATGTTTTAATCTTCCCCTGTTTTTTTCTTTCTTCTTTCATGACGACGTATTTCTAATTAGTTTATCGTTTACGTCTTTTCTCTTCATGCTTAAATTATCAGACTCTCCAATCTCGTTATTTTCGCTTGTCTTTCGCTTCAGATATAAGCGATGTATATTATTGAATAACGTGGGCGGCAGATAATTAAACTAAAATCATTGCAGATATAAACCTAATTTCCTCAAAATAAGAGAAAACTGCTGTCAGAATTTTCACTAGCAGGAAGAAGCCACTTTCCTCAATCGCGACCAACTTTTTCCTAATGGTTAAGTCTTGTAACTAATAACTATGTTTGTGGCGCCATCTTATATAAATAATCAAACTCGAAAACTAGGCAAAAACATCTGGAACAGATGGTATAACCGCGTTCATATTACTAAGAAGACACGATTTCAACTGAAATCTAATATTTTTCTAAGAATTTAAAAATATTAGTTAATTGAAGACCTTAAACTTAATATTATCCATTCATGATAGTATAAATATTCTAAATATTTTTAGTCAATTTTTCTTTTTTTAAAATTTTTATTCATATACAAAATTAATGATAAAATAATTGATTTGTAACATTCTCATATCATAATGTCATATTTCTAAAGCTAACATAACCTTAAAAATTGTTGGACATTTTCTGAAGAACACTTAATGAGAATTGATGAGATTCATTATTTATGTCGTAAACGAGAATGTATTAATAAATTATCTAACAGGTGACGAAGATTAAACGGGACAATACCATTTTCTTTCTTTTTTGGGTCATTTTGATTTACTTGTAGAAAGTCATTCGATCGAAAATTTTTTGTTCTACAAAATTGTTGCATTTGATTTTTAAGTTTTTTTTTTTTTTTTATGCAATTTTTTTTTTCAACAACAATTTTCTGCAATGATAAGCATACTAATCAAAGTCTGCATCTTTTCATATATGTTTCAGAATTTCAGAAGAAATATTTGCAAGAATAATCGTGCAGTAAAACACTAAAAAGCCTTGCCTAACAGGATTATGTGGTTATTCTTTCCTTTTTTATTTCGATACATTAGAATTGTTTGTACTCTTCAACTTAACAGTCACAACATTTTATTGAGAATTAAATTCCACGCTCGACAGCATGAGAATGAATGTTTCATAGACTGACAACAGATGGTCCCAAGATGACTAAAACCTTTTGAGCCTATTTTTTTGCTTAACGGTAGAGCATCTATGGATTAGAACAGGTTCCGAAGGGTTCGTGGTGAAGTTAAGATTCGACCAAGATATTGACTTTTTAGTGAATTTTTGTCCAGTAATACCGTGAAAACATGCATATTTTGGAAGTTGCTTAGACTTACACAGATCGATAGATATTTTCAGAAAATTGCAATTCATATTTAAATTTTCTTCGAACAAAAAAAATTTGTCTGGAAAACAAATGAAATAATTTTGTAGAGCAAAAAATTTTCTACCAAATAACTCAAAAAAAATCGGATATTGTCATATTTAAGTCTGCACCATACGTTAAACAAAATATATCTACATGTTGATTTTTACTATTGGATTGGCATATAAATTCTGAGCGTTTGGATCAGTAGAATTGTATCGCCAATATAAAAGTATATCTTAAGGCAAGTAATTATATATTCTGACAGAGCTCGGAATTCTCTATCACCCTGTGTATTTAAGTCTTGACTTGCATTTATTTGCTGAAAAAATATTTTGACTATAGTGAAGACACCCTCATTCGTATTGACAATGTTCGAAATATTTTTCAGTAAATAAGTTCAAGTCAGATCTGAATATACAGAGCGATAGAGCATTTCAAGGGCTCTCACAATATATAATTGCTTTTCTAAAAAGCCGGATTACTGTAGAGATAAAAATTTTAGAAATACATGAGAAAGGAACAAAAAATGGAGTTCGTGGGAATCTGAGGGTGAGGGTGTCTTCACTGTATTCAAAATATTTTTTCAGCAAATAAATGCAAGTCAAGACTTAAATATACAGGGTGATAGAGAATTCCGAGCTCTGTCAGAATATATAATTACTTGTCTTAAAATGTAGTTTTATATTGGCGATATAATTCTACTGATCCAAACGCTCAGAACTTATTGCCAATCTAATAAATAGAAATATTTTGCTTTTGATAACATTTTAGCATAACTAGAGACAAATACTAAATTCATTAAGTATGAAATCTGTTCTGGAACAGTATATCTTCATCGGACAGCAAACAAAAGTAACTAGAGTAAGTAGTATACTCCCTGTAGAATACATTTCGATTTAAAAAAGATTATTTTTCAAAGATTTTTTATCATGCGATTATCTTAGGTTAAGGCTAATTGCTGTTCCGTGCTTTTCTATTATATTGTACCTTGTTCCGGATTATGCAAGCAAAACTTTATCAGTACTTTATATATATATATATATACATGGTTATTATCATTGAAACGCTTGATAGATCGTAACTAAAACTAATGCGAGTGACGAAAGAATCGAACTAATATGATACATTGCTGTATCAAAAAAAAAACAATCCGCAATTCTTCTATTTATGGATACTTTAATCATCTTAGCAAACTGATAATAATTTATGTCTACTTAGCTTGTCAATGTCTAGAAAAATATCGTGAGAATTTTAGATCATCATACTGTTTCGTTATTGAATAATTACAAACGATAGAAAAATAGATTTCATATTTTAGTAAATTTCTTTTTTTCTTAGAACTAACAGTAGATTGTTTTTTAAAGAAAGATACTTTTATTTGATAGCTTTTTTCTAACTTTATCTATTACAAAAAGAATCGATTTAAAAAAAAGCCGAATGTTATAAGCTTAGGAATTACATTTTCTAAGAAGATAAGTTTTTCTTTTGAACCACTTGGTAGCTTTAAGCTTTCTGCTTTTTTTTAAAACGATCTTACATAACCTTCATTTACATAGTATATATAGTGACTACTAAAATAATTCAACTCAATTTATCTTCAATTTTTTTCACTATTGTGAATGCTCGAAATAGTAATATGCGCAAAAATTTTTATGCCTAACAAGAATTTTTCACAGATAAAAATAATTATTAGTTTCTCTCTGAAAAATTAAAAATCAAGTTTTTCTAGCCGTAGAATTTGCAATCTCAAATTCTCCTTGAATTATCTAGAATAATACAACAAACAATTGTCCACAAAATGAAACATCTTCTAACTTTCTACGCCATTTTTCAATCAAGATACATCAACCTTACGAAAGGGCACAAAAGTCCTTTTTTCTGTTAATTTCGTATGAAAACATCATTTTTTGTACTTTCCTTGTGATTAATGTATCTCAGTCAAAAAATATTGTAGAAAGTTGGAATATGTTTCATTTTGTAGAGAATTATTTATTTTATCATTCTAAATAATTCAAATCGAAATATAATTTCAAGTTAGAAATAAAATTGATAGTAAATTCGATCATATAATTTTTAAAGTCATTTTTTATATTTAAGCTTAACAAATAACTCATATTGCATGATTATTTTAAAATCTATAATTCAAATAATAGATTGAATAAATCAAAAGAAAAAAAAACGCTTTTCTATCTTGACTTCATTCTACGTATCTAATGACAAAGCTAATAAACTTTTTTAATTGAAAACATGAAGAACAAAAAAAAAAACACTTCTGCAAATAGAATTTCTATTAAATATTTAAATAAGAGATTGCTTTTGTTTTGTATCTTACCAATGAAGATAACATATGCCAGTTAAAATATCTAATAAAGGCATATGATGTAATTTAAAATATTCATTTAACGTCATTGTATGTCCATTTATAGAAATACCAAAATATTTTTTTTCTATTAAATAAACATCATATATATGAACTTGTGATACTGTATAATTTGGTACTAAATGTAATGCATCATATAAAAACAAATATGTTAAATAAATCATTATAGCTAATGTAAGACGTCTTGTGCGGTCTGATAATAAATATAGTGATATTAAAGCTAAATATATAATTAAATGTATAATTGATATTCCAGTTATAAATATAAACCAAGTAAAATAAAGTATTGTTAAAACAAATAACCATATATAATGTTCAGTTGTAAATATAGAATTATTTTTATTATAATTATTATCTTCATCATCATCATCATCAATTAATGATTCATTTGATTGTGATGATAGTAATGGTAATAGATCAATAATAACTGAATTTTGTTTATATTCATTTTTTGTTTGATTATTATTTTCATCATTTACTGTATGAATATTAAGTTGATGATAGATTGAATTTGTTTCATGATGTTTTATATTACCATTTCGTTGTTTTTTATAATATTTTGATACTTTTGAACGAGATTTATGTAATAATTTACCATATGGAAGTTTTGATGATGTACGAGGTCGAAATGGAAACGATAAAGTTGAAAAAAATGTTGATAGAAGATTTACGGACGGATTTGATTCATTATCATGAATTGATTTAGTAACATATCCATTAGACATGCTATCCATATCGATCGATAGATCATCATTAGTATTTTTATTTAAGATTGGCTGTAAACCGATTTGTTTACCTAAAATATACTGTTCTATTATTAATGGTTTCATACTAACAAAAAAAAGAATTCTTATGTATTCAAAAATTTCATTTTTTTTCAATAAAATAAAAAATCGGATGTTTATACTATTATTTTATTTTTTTTCATCTATAACAATTCAAAACATATTCATTTTAAATGAACCAAAGAAATTTATGTAGCTTTAATTAAGACAAAAACTCCAGTATATTCTCTTTTTTCTGTTGAAGAATATAATAAACGATAATTTTTCTTTTTTTACGCATTTTAAAGTGCATTTCAAGAACAAGAAAAAAAAACAATGCGTTCAAATACTATTACCTAATTGAGCAATAAATGTTGAAAACGGTGCAAATATTTTAGACCATTTTCGAGTATATAATGGATTGTAAAAACGCATATTGTCGACTAATTATAATCGATAATCAGCATGTGAAGATAATTGTCTAAATAAAAGAACGAAATATTGAAATGAGTCAAAAAAATATATACCAACGGAATAGAATGGATAAAAAGTACGAACGAATAATCGTTCTGCATGAAAACTTCACATAAGCTATGTACATATGCACATGCATTCATGACATTTTTAATATACGTACCAAGGAAAATAAAAAATGTTATGCACGACTAACTATTTATTGACTGTTATCAGGGTTTGATCAATCTTTTTTTTTTGCTTGGTATTACAAGTCGAATCAAATAAGGATATATTGACCGTATCGAAGGTACTGTTTACGTACTTAAAGAACGTTAACGTACGTTCTCGACGTTTACATATTCATTTTCTATTGGGTTTGATTATCAGAAAGGAAAAACAGAATAATTCTCGTCACGTCGTACTCAAACGTTCTGTTTTTTTTCATCTATCATATTCGCCTTTTTTTTCTTTTCCTTGGAACCATCCATGCTATTCTACTGTTCTTTTTTTTCTTTTTCTTTTTTCTTTCTTTCTCTTCCTTTTCTCTGTTTTTTTTCCACTTCTTCTTTCGTTTCTCTGTCACAAGCCTTTTTTTTTTTCATTTGTACTAAAAGAGCATCTGCAATAACTCATACTATGAGATTTCATATACTCTTTGTAACATAATATTGATACGGTTTCGAACAGCTTATCTTAGGGTAATGATCATATTCATATTATGTTAATATTTCGATTAATCACAATATATCCAACGTCGTCATTCATCAATAGTAAAGGCAAGCTAATGGTCGTAAACGAAAGACGATGAGTCATTCATGTATTCGATATTCTTTTTTATCATTTTACAAGTACGAAGGACATTAGTTTATGTCAAAAGACTAGAAGTATGATAAAAAGACATCAATATGAATCATTGTTTGTTATGCATCATGATGCAAAAAAAAAACTTTTTTTGTTGTAGTTGCTGAACTGACTATTAAATTTCATCATGTATTCCTTCATTCTTGTTTTTCATCGGTAAATAAATGTATTCATTGATCAACAAATTATTGAAAAAGAAATATTGACTTGAATCAATGTTGGCCTTCAGCAGTTCTGTTAAAGTTTAGTCCAGTTTTTTTATTAAAAAAATCCTTTTTTTTTTTTATTTAATATTTGAAGTACACAAATAGCCAAGGACTCTGATATATCTCTTCTGGGACCATAGAAATAAAAAGAAAAAAGAAAATAGGAATACTTTCTTTTCTAAGCATGTTCTATTATCTCTATTAAATATATATGTTGCAGGGTTTATTATTTAAGAAATTGAAAGAAAGAAAGAAAGAAAATGTCGGTTGATCAGATTCCAGATAAAATAAATGAGAGAAGTATAATCTCACTGTATTTGAGTGTCAGAAAAAAATATGTATATATAGATAAATGCAAACGACGGACGACAACATAATACTAGCAGAAGAAATATGTCATCTGTCAACAATGCGTAGAAGCATGTAAATGCATACTTCTAGTTGATGATCGGCTTCATTATGCATGACGATAAAAAAAAAGTACGATATATAAATTATTAAAAGTTCGACAAATATTAAGGAAGAAGAGAGGAAAAAACAGAAATCAATCGAATTCTCTTTTCTTAGGTTATAAAAACACAATATAATGAGAAATGACTCTCTTCCAACGTAAAATGCCGAAGAAATTAATAATCTGTTGTTAGTCATATTCCGTTCTCGTTCGAACTAACAATAAGTAAAAGGAAAGTAAACCTCTACTTTCCTTTTCAATATATAGAAGAAAAAAAATGAGTATTTATTCATTGAGTTTGTTTCTTTTTTTCTTAAGAATCTAACAAGAAATAACTAATAGAAAGTTTACTGCTATTATTATGAAATCAACTAAATTTTTCTTTTCTAACATTTTGCGAATAAGGAAAAAAAGAGTTTTCTTTTTTTTTATATATATAAAAACACTTGACAAGATTGCTTTACGTGTTGTTGTAATTAGAGTATGTTTAAATGCAAGAAAAAAGTACTTTGCAAATGGAGAAAATCGTTTAGTATTCACACTTGTCATATAATTATACATCAATTATATATTACGTATCTTCTTTTAATTTGAATGGATATCAGATGAGTATTATATACATGTTCATACTTTTATCATTTTTTATGCCATAATATTGAATACATATTTGTTTTTAATATATATGTTGTTTTCATGATAGAAAAAATTGATAGATTATTGAACGTACCTTGTTATGAATTCATATTACTTACCGAATTATCAAAATCGAATTTATTAATAAATTTTTTTATTTGTGTGTTTTTTCTCTGTCAAACAAAATTATACCCAGAATTTTTATAATCAAAAAGCAAAAATAATTTCGTTATTCATGTGAAAATAACAAATATTATTATATGCTCTATCATGGATCATTTATTTTTGTTATAATCAATGATAAAATCGGTGATATACAGTCATACATTTTCGGTAATAGGATGTAAGACGACGACGCAATAGATTATGTCAAATAGACATTATACAAATGAAGTAATATTTAAATGAGAAATTAAGGAATAAGAATAACTTGTTTTGTTGATGATATTTATTGATGTTGTTTAGTTCGAATTTTGAATACTATATACGTCGAATGGATAAAATAGTGTTAAGGGTACTCCCCTCCCTTTTCGAAAGCACTAGGCTCAAAGTTTTCGGATGTTATCTTCTGTGAGATACTAGGATCACAATAGGTGTGGGTGTTACCATCTTTTTTCTTTCAAATAGTAACCCATTTGTTTGCAGATGACCTAGCTCTTGTTATTACCAGCTCTCTCGAAAAGAAATTCTCGATGAATATAATTGAACTTGAAGAGCATGCACGTGTAGTTTTAAAACAACTTGAAGTATTTGCTGAAAACAATATTTTACCTGTTAATGTTTCAAAGACGAAAGCAATACTGGTACACAGTGTAGTTGTACCAAAATACCCGAAATTAGCATATAAATCTCAACCGATTGAATATGTGGGAAAATTCAAATATCTAGGAATTACTGTTACAACAAAGTTAGGTTGGGGTTTATATATATCAGAAAAAATGAAAAATGTAAGAAAAGTTTATAATGGGATGAAGATTTTTTTTCATAGAATACCAAAAAATGATACTAAAATAAGACGAAAAATTTTTCTAGCTTATGCATTACCACACTTTTTATGGATTTTCTGCATATGGTTTTTTTTAACTGAGAGACAGAAGGAACAAATTGAACATGTATATTGTTCTGGTCTTAGATTGGTTTACTCATTGCAGGGTTGGGATGATTTTACAACATTAACTCTTAGTCAAGAAAAATCCCTTCGTGATTATCTATATTCCTATTGGCAAAAATTTCATTTGCATTTAGAGACAGCGGAAGAAGCTTTGTGTTATCAAAACACCTGGACAGCATATTTAATTGCTACATCCCCTGATAAGAGTTGGTATAAATCCATGAGGTTGAGAAAAAATAACAAGTTTTTAACAAGATTAGCGACTAGGGCACGACATAGCAGAATGGATTGGTTAGATTTTGAAAACATCCAATGTCAGCAATATGAGTATTTTAAAAATTCAACCACCCTATTGAATATATTTACATATAAATATTTTGTAATATCGCCTTAATTGTGTAACTTTAGTTGTAAAAGAAAAGTTCTATTACTAATCTTAATAATTATATTGTTCTTTTTTCTATTATTATATCTATTGATTTATTATGTTAAATTTTCTTTTCTCTATACTTCTGCGCGTGTATTCTGATGTGTAGTTGGAGGTGTGATTGACATCGTGATATATCTAATAATCTACTTTTCTCGCTGATGTTATTTTTTCCTTTTTCTTGTGAACCTCATTATGGCACAATAAACTATGAATATTAAAAAAAAAAAAAAAAACAATAGGTGTGGGTGTTGGTGTCCAACAAAAGAAGATAGACAAACATCTATATTCACATATTCTTTTCACAAAGAAATACAAGACAAAATATAGAACAACTTTCTCACTCTACTACAATCTGTTTAAACAATAAAAAATCAAACAAGGAGAGGTTACTTTAAGCATAATCAAAAAAAGACCTCTCCGACAATTTACAAGGAGGAGTACAAGAAAAAAGAGGTAGTATATAGCGATAAATTCATTGATATTTAAATTTTAGTCTTTTTTTTGTAATAAGCTTTTAGTTCGTTTTTCCAAATATCATTTATCGAGTTAAAATTACCATTTAAGATTCTACCATCATTGATGTTCAACTCTATCACCATCATGAGGATATCATCAAGTATTTGGAATAATTAATTTTTTGATAAAATTGTTATGTTTTACTATTTCATCTTCATGTCTAACCTGACCAAGTTGCAAAGATTTGATATGGTTATTAGTTTTTAAATTAAAGACGACTACAAGGATTTGATCCCAGAATGGAGCATATGCAGGTTTGTAGAGAAAAAGTTTCTCTATTCAGTGGTATACTTATTATGAAATTCTGTTGCGTATCGTGAAAGGAAAATAAACTAAAAAGTATAGATTTGACAGTTTTTAAGGTGGTCCTTCTCCAGCAAAATCTAAATAGGACAGACACAAGCCAAAACCCACTTCAATCAAGTGTTTACCGTTCGACCGTCCACATTGTTTACTTCCACAATTCATATCACTCTTCTTGATATTCATGTTATCATGTTACTTATAGTAATTTGAAAAAGAAATTCTATATATTCTTCGTGATGCTGATTGACCGGGTTCTTGTTCATCAATTTTTCTAACTTGAACAAAACTGTCATCTATTCCTAACGATCGAGTATTGATCTTGAAATATATTTGTTCAATTTTCTTTATTTCTGTTTCTAATTAATGAATAGTTGATGTCAATGTATCAATATCATCTCGAGCTGCTTCTTGTTCATGAACAAATTTGCTCATTTTTGATTGTATTATATAAAGAATTTTTTCTTGTTGTTGATCTAATTTCTCAGTAGCAAAGTCAATTGAGTTCTTAATATTTTTTCCTCAAAGAAATGGTCAATCTTCTCATAAAGCTTAAATGATTTGAGTCGATCACCACAAGTACATTGATTTCATTGTGAAATGAGTTATACATTATGTTCATTCAAATGTTATCGACAAAGATTTTGCTTACAATGATCACACAGAACTTGAGATGCTCGCTCGCATTGTGGTGTAGTACATGATTGTGACATATGGTAACAATGAGAATTTTTTTTTATTTTGGTTGAGACAATTCCTAATGAGATGACCAGAATGAAAAAAGTCATATTTTGCCTTATTGTATGACTTCTACGTTTGTTTAACGAAGAAACGAAAAAAAAAACTGATGTCTTTATTTTTATTCCAGTCGAACTATTTGAATAGTCAAACTTATGAAATCATTTTATCCTCTAACTATAACAAGTGATGATAGAAATCTGAAAGAGAAGAAAATAGATTTCGACAAAGACAAAGATGTGATTTTGTAGAAGACAAGAAATCATACTTCATTATATTAGTTAATAGTTGAGTTCTCTATACGCACAAAGTTTCCGATCAAAATTCGAAATTACGTGTTTTCCGAAAATCTGGGGCTTCTGAAAAATAAACATATGAAAAATTCGATATCTTAGTCAAATATCAATAGGAACCGAAATCCTTTTTAGGGTTTTCATAAGAACACTAAAGTTCTCTGATTAGCAAAACAAAAAAAAATCTGTCAATTAGCTGATTTATTATAATAAAGCAAAGATTATTATTTTTATCTTTCAATTATACATATTTAAATTTGTTAAATTATTAGTCATTGTTTCAAATCTTTTGCGTTGTTGATATTAATTGATCATTTTCTTCTTCTTCAATTGTATTTGGTTTTCCTCGTAATTGTTCTTGTTTTTTTGTAATATCTTCTTCTATAATATATCCATTTATTTGAGAATCTCTATTTATAGGTGTTGTCATTCGAATAGAATCATTTTGTTGTATATTATTTTTCATATGTGATGGCCAATGAGAACCAATTAATGATAAAATAACGGGTAAAAAAATCAATGCATGTATAGCTCCTATTGTCATTATAGAAATCATTGCTTTAAAAAATGTTCGAAATAAATATGAATGAGCAAAACCTAAAAATAGAACACCAATTATTGATGATAAACTTGCACATAATATTGGCATTCCCATATTAATTAATGCTTGTTGTGCACGTTCTTTTCTTGTACCAGTTGATGTTAAAAAAGCATGTACAATATGTACACAAAAATCTGAACAAAAACCAATTGACATAACAAGTTCAACCATCATAATTGATGATATTTGAATACCCCATACATGTAATGTAGCAATAAAACTAAGAAGTATCATACACATTGTTGAAATAATAATAATTACAGATTTAAGATCAGGAATAATTATTAATGTTGCCAAATACATAGCTTCTATAGCAATGAGAAATGTTTGAATTATATTCGGAATGACTTCATACATTTGTTCATAATATTTGAATAGATTACTATAAACTATAATAATGAGAAAGATTAAATTATTAGTAAAAGTAAATTTTTGTACTAGGAAATTTTTAATAGTTTGAAAATTTTTGCATTTACTGACTAGTAATGAAAGAAGAAGAATAGTCTTGCCTTGCGATAGACTCATTAGCTCGATGTTTTCTCTCCAGCAATGAGTAGCTATAGTTCTAGGCAGAAGATCAATTTGACACAGAGCTCTTGTGCTTAATTGCTTGAGCTCTTCATGTGCACTAACTCATCACAAGAGTCTTTGTATGGTACAATCAAGTCAGCATGCTATTGCACAGATGATCTGAGAGAGATAGCCGTTAGTGTCTTGTTCAGAATCATTCCATGACTGAGAATACTGAGGTTTGCACACACTACTTTACGAATACATGTTTAACAATGTACCCATTCAGTCATGACGAGTAATTAGTAATGATCCTGTCGTGATTATGGTTTCAGAAATCGGCAAGTAACACCTATGGTTTTCTACGTACTGATCGACGTTGGTCATTGTGCTCGATATAAATATTACCTGACTAGGTATTTTTCTTACAATGATAATACTTTAACTCTGATCAGGTTTCGTTCAATTGTTAGATGAAGTTTTTATAAATAAAAATTGACTTCATTCGTATTGTAGGCTGAAAAAATGAAAAATCGGGAGTGGTTGCCTTGATGTAAAAACTTTGTGAGAAACACACTAGACAAATGAAATAACACGATATCTTAAATATTCTAGTCTAATTATACATATATGCGAACAACAGTCACTAGACAAAAGATACTTTTTGTCAATCCAGCAGAAAAAAAAACATGAGACATGATATGTATATTTAGTTGGATAAACTAAAAGAAAATATAGAAAAATAGAATATATTACTATTCTATACTATATGATAGAATTTCGATATTTTTTTTTATTGCACCGCTATTCAATGATTAATCTAAGGTCTCGGCAAGGAATGAGCAGTCGGACTTTTCTTCTATTGACTTAGGAAAATTATATACAAGTCACGAAAAAACAAACGTTTCATTAAATTCACGAACTTCAATTGATCTAGAAACTTTTGCTGAACATTAGGCGCGTAGCTCATGAGGACGCCTTCCTTCGTACTTCTGAAATTCGTTCATACAACGACGCCCTGCTTTTGAAACTGTTCATACAGAGCCTCTTTTTTTAGGACTTAGTCATTCTGTAGAATATCCATGAAGTGTACATTTTCAATATTTCGTAATTGTTTCATATAATCATGTGATAAGAGCAAAGATCTTTCATTTTTGTGAATTAATAAATGCAATAACTGGTGATGATAGCTGACCTACAATCTAATGAAGATGAAGCAACTGCAACTATGAGGAAAGACTTTTAGTTGTATAATAGTAATTTTTTCTACTATTTTAGTTTAATTTCTATCAGATATTATTTATCACTGTTGTTACCAGTTACAGATATAAACCGATAAAATAATGAGAAAAGCAATAATAAACTGTAGACATCTAAAGTTTGCGATATATTTCCTTTCGATGTTTCTACATCACACCGGAATGTTTTATTATGGGTCTTCTAAGTCTAATATTTAGACAACATCTCTTTTTTTTTTGTAACTTCTGATAGTAAAAACTATTGTTTTCAATCAAATGCATATTTAATAAAATAATTTTCATACCTTTGATTGGTAGTTTTGATTGTTCAGCAACTAAACGTAATTGATTGACTAAATAACCATCAGATGAATTATAAAGTACACGTCCCATTTTTAAATAAAATCGACTAGCTATTAAATGAGTATCATTAAATAATAAATCATTATAAAATGTTGGAAATAAATTAACAAAACCATGAATTATTTCTATCAATTTTGTACCATTATCAAATGGATAATCTTGTGAATCATAGCCCAATAATGAGAACCAAGAGATTTCAAATTGAGGATTCATTCCTAGTAACAAAAGAAAAACGAACATCTTCATTTGAAAAACGAAAAGAAAAAAAAAATCATCAAATATTTTCTTACCTTCTAATTGTTTAGCAGTTTTAACTAAATTTTGAATTCGTTTCATATAATCATTTCTCCAGTATGGTATTGGTTCTGTTATAATAAAATGAACTAATGGATAAGGTTCAAATTCTTTATCTAATGTATTAAAATAATGTTGTGCATATGATTTATCATTTAATAATTGTCCCAATTTCATACCATCTCTCATTTGTAATGTTCCATAAATAGCAAATATTGTATAAATTAAAAAAATTAAACAAACAATTATTTGACCACATGTTGTAAATAATGGTTTAGTAATATAGACAAACATTTCTTTCCATGGTAAACATTGTTGTCGTCGATGATGTCGATGTCTTTGATTATTTGTTGTTTGTGTACGATCAACAATACATGGAATGAGTGTATGTAGATTGTTATTAATACATTCATTATAGAGTGCAACTGCACTACCAAATAACATTATTTGGTAGAAATAACAAAAAGCTATTGCAGCACCTTATAATAATAAAAAAGAAAATTTACTATGAAACATTTATAATTTTTGATTTTTTTCTATTAGTTTTCTCAAGAATTCGTGAGATATTAACAAGTAAAATTCTACCGAAGGTTACTTTTCTAGGTCTATCAATAATACCATGAATAACTTAAGTTTTTTAAAGTAATACTTACAACGGGACCAGTCGAGGTGATACCTTGCGTAGGGTCTGTTGAGACTAGAAGAAACCTAGAGGAATTCTTCCCCATGCACTGTTCTTTTAGAGCTATGGTCATTACACTGAATCTTCACCTTTGATACGATACTTATAAAATTGGACAAATGAGTTTTGGCTTAAAACTTTGTCCATTGAAGTTATTAGAATTCTCCTAAACATTTCAGTCAAAAAGGGTGGTCTCTTTTCGAGATTTCAAGTCCACAAAAAAAACTATGATATTCCACCAAAAGGACAGAAAATCTAGTTGTTTGTGGATTTGATATCTTGAGAAGAGACTATTCTTTTTAGCTGAAATTTTTAGGAGATTCTAATGACTTCAATAGGCAAAGTTTTAATCCGAAATTCGTTTGTCTGTTTTTTTTATAAATACCTTGGCAAAGGTGGAAAACCCAGTGTAATGATCATAACTCCAAAAAGACAGTACATGGAAAAGAATCCCTATGGGTTTCTTCTAGAGCCAACAGGCCGTACGTAATGACTGGGGTCTCATCTCAAACGCGAGGTATCAGCTCGCGTGGGTTCCACGTTAACTTGTTTAATGTGTGAGTTAGTTGCATAACTCTAATACATATAGTTCATGGATGTGGATCGGTAATTTTCTGATGATGTTGATAGATCTAATAGATACTGCTAAAATTTTGAGAGGTTTTGCTAGATCGTCAATGTTCTATCATTAAGCAAAGAAATTAATTTCTGAAGATCCTTACTTTGTCATCATTTCACAAAAGACTATATAATTGAATACTATTAAAGGCACACGATTTCATTAAAAAAAAAGATTGAAATTAATACTATAGTAAAGTGCATATATATAAACAGAAATTGAATATAATCTTACTTGTATAAATACAAAATAGACGTATACCATAGAAATCCGTAGTTGCTCCAACTAGAAACGCAAGAAAATTTGTTAAAGATGTTATTGTTATACCAGATCCACAAATACGAAATGTATCTGCTAATCTTTGAGAAGTTGTTTCAGATGTTTTTGTTCTATGATAAGCCGAATAAATTAGAAACATATCATCAGTACCAACACCTAATTAGAAATCATTCTAACATATAATCAAAAAATAAAAAAAAAACATATATCTTACCAATAATAAGAAATGGTGTAGCAAATATTAATGAACACATAGGTATACCAATAAGTGAACAAAATCCAAAACCAGAAACTAATCCTAACATTGTTGCTAAAACACCAATAGCAGATAAATATGCTGGTGATTGTGCTAATGGACCATGTATTGATAAACAAATAGTAGCAACAATAATCATTACAACGAATGTTATACCGACTAAGTTCGTATCTATTAGATTAAATAAAAAACAAAAATAAAAGAAAATTTTATTTTTTATTCGTTTTTTTCCCTCACCTGAATTAATATTATTTTCAAGTTCTTGATCAATTGATGTTGATACTGAATAAAAAGTACGAAGCATAACTGATTCAAAATGTTGAAAAAATTGTAAAAAAGCTTGTTCCCACATTCGACTTATTATTTCAATATTTTCATATTCATCTTTTCTTAATATTGTACGTCGTAAATTAAAACGTAATTTAAGTACTTTACCATATAATGTACCTTGATCTAAATCAAGCATTAAACGTTTTCCAAATATAAATGTTAATAAATTTGGTACGCCATCATCATCTGTATAAAGATCATTTACCATATATTTATAGAATTGTTTTTCATTTAAACGTTTCCAAAATGTATTGCGAAAAAAAATATCACCTTCAGTTACACATTGATTATTACGTTTAGCACAAAGATCTTTATAAAAATATGTTTGATTATTATATGTAACATTTATATTTTGTATAAGATTATAAATACGTTTAAGTTCGTTTCGTACAACTGTACGTCCTATATTTCCATAATCATTTGTTATAAATATAACATCACCATAGATACCAAAATCATAATCTTGATGAAGATAATATTCATCATAATTCATTGGTAATAGTTTAGCTATAATATCTCGATCACGTATACTTTTACTATTCATTGGTATAAATAAATCATCAGCATTCTTGTTTATATTCATACGTAAAAGACCAAATAAACAAAAACCAGTTATGATAAATGGAATGGGTATAAACATATAAGGTTTACTACCAATATGTCTACCAATAATTGAAAATTGATTTTCATAAAACGTATTAAATTTAAGAAATAAATATTCGAAGAGATTTCGCCTATAGATAAAGACATTTATTAAATTATGATTCGATTTAGAAGGATCTAGCGACACGAACAGTCCATTAATTTGATTAGAGCTTGGACTTGAAGCATGAGTCTAACTATAGATATGTCGGACTAAGGTCGACACGAATAGGAAAAGTCATACTCATGCAGAAATTACAGAATCTTACGAGGAAACATTTTAAGTGTAAGGAGATATGGGTTCAGGTGTAGTCTACAAAAAGATGAACCCGCAACTCCCTATAAGTAAATATCGATCAGCATTAAAAAAATTTCTAAATCGATGTCATGAGTTGTTTTGAATAATCGACAATCAAGTAGTGCAAATTCAACGCAAACAACTTTAATTTCCTGTTTAACTCGCTCTGAAATAGTTGATTCATTTTTTAAAGATGTATAAAACTGCTTGATACCTATTTGAACTTTAGAAACTGTCGATTTTTGTTTTTATTTTGACAACTATGAAAATTCTTAGCTAGTGAATTAGTACAAGAAGATGATTTATAAATAAGTAAATCACCACATTGATTATATAGAACATATTTTTGTTTGATCTCGTTTACATAAATACAATTAAGACTATTCCATACAGCTGAAGATTTTGGTGTTACTGTTGATTTGACGACTTTCAGTGACGAATCTTGTTTATCAATTAACTTTTAATTTATTAAGAATTACGTGATAGGAAAATCAATAACAAGAAATAACTGTATGTAGCCAATAAGTAGCTAAAATCGTGATCCTTCCCTTGTTTATGTATACAGAGGGGGAGAAAGGTAGATATTAATAAAAAAAAACTCAGGTTTGAAGCCAATTGGGTCCGAGTCTACAAACATGTAGACTTGCAGCTGCTTGTTTAAGTATCACCTCTAGAAACAAGATGAGATCTAATCTATCTTATAGTGAAATTTTTCGCTGATCACAAATATCGATATGTTAGCTATCACCGATCAAACCTTTAAAAAATTCGAAGGAAATAAAATCTAAAATTCTTCTGCGAGAAGGGTATTTTAATAAAACATCAAGTATCTTAGAATTAACTGCAAGATATCATGCTTCGCAGAGAATTCTGTTCTAATCATTTTTGAAAAAAAAAATTCTTTTCAATTTGATTGAAAAAATAACAGAGATTGGATACTAATACTGGAACTTGAGTATAAATACGTCGGTACATTTTACATCATTTCAATATTCGCAACTTATCTCTGTTATTTTTTTAACTTAATCGAAAAAAAGAATTTTTTCACAAAAATGATTCAAAAAATAATTCTCTACAAAACATGATATATTACAGTTAATGTTGAGATGCTTGATTTTTCATAAAATATCTGCCTCGTAGAAGAATTACATTTTATGTCCCTCAAATTTTTTAAAGGTTCGAACATAGCAGGGCAAGGGCACTTAATTGCGTTCCCTGATTCATATAATATCGTCCTGTATTCTTGAAGTAGCTTTTTTGTTATTATTTTTTCATTGAAAATAATCTTATAATAACGTTCTTTAAGAGATTACTTATTTCTTTTTGTTTTTACTTTTATCGATTATAATTCACCAATACATATTACCTTAATCAAATATAATTACTCATGAACATACATTAATTGGCAA